TCATGCAGAGGAAAGGCAATGGGTTCTTTCTCCCAATCACATCCCAATCACCCGGCCCCTTAGCTTCAGCCAGTGCTCACAGATTTAGGGCAGTGCTCCTTATCTATGTCAATGGGGCAACAAGCCCATTCATAGCCTTGGCCAGGAGAGGCAGAGCTGTCATAGCCAGACCCCCACAGTCACCTCTCCAGGCAAAGGGTGCTGGCACTCAGGGCCATGAAGTGTTGAGTTCTCTGCAAAAACAAGCACTGTCATTTGGGTAGCGAGGAGGATCCTGTTTTTAATTCATGGCTGATGGCACTTACCCAGGAGAGTTACCCAGGTTGTTAACAGTGGGATAACAGAAAGACACCAGTGCTTATTTGTGGACTATCCCAAATCCCACCTACACATCATTAATAGAATTTCACTTCATAGACACTTTATCTCAAACTCTCTGGGAGGCAGACAGTCTGTATAAACACCAAGAGGGGAAAAAAAGAAAGTCAACAAAGAACTCCCAACACTTACTTGAAAATCTGACTGCAGCCGTTTGACTGGTGACAGCCCCTAGGGAGCTGTGAGACACGCAGGAGTAATTACCCTCAGCGCCAGCCTTCTCAGGATATTTGCTGTCCTTTGCCACAGCCTGGGATGAGATGAAGAGCGATCCATTTGGAAGCACGTGGAGATGTTCCTGCTCCACTAATGGAAATCCATTCTTCTTCCACGTGATATTGATCACCTGCTCAACAGGGGCCAGGTTACAGTCCAAAACCACGACTTGGTTTGGCTCCAGTATCACCTTTGCAGGACCAGCACTACAGCTCAGCTCCAGAGAATCTCCTTCCAACAGCCTCCCTGCAAAGAAAAGACAGCATTGCAGTGGGGGTTGCTTTTCTTGGTTAATCACATCCCAGTTTTACACAGTGATGGAATCACGGTTCCCCATGAGTATGGTTGGAGGTAACGGGTCAAATTAAGCCCTGTTCAGTGACCAGCACCTCCCATGACACTTGTGCACTGCATTTTCCATCACACATCCCTAGGGCTGCAAAACCTGCACCATTTCCGCCACACCTTCTGTCCACACTTGCTTTTTCCACGCTGAATTCAAGGAGAGAAGAACAACTGGATGAAGGTGAAGTGACAGCAACAGCAAGAGCCAGCACAGAAGGTGCAGCAAGGGCCCCAACCTGCCATGGTTGCCCATGACAAGTGAAGCCTCCCCCTCACCCGCCTGCGTACCAGAGCCTCCTCCTAGGCTGATCAACCCCCACAAGACAACTACGTGCAAGCAAAGGTATTCCAGCGCAGCTTGGTACCCCAATGCCAATGATCACAACTTGGTTGGAGCAGGTCCCCCTCAGGGGAACCGGCAGGAAGAGCTGAAGCCCAGCTGGGAATCCAGAAAGACAGTGTCTCCAGCTGATGTTCATGTATTGGGAAACTCATTTCAAAGGAAAGACAACAAAAGAACAGCTAAAAATGTGACCTGCTGCCTCTCAGTGTTTTATCCCACATAGGATTCTCCAGAACGAGAATGGATGAATGCATTTTCCCCACTCAAAAAGGATATTCCAGCTGCAAGCTGACAGTACCCAGAACATGCCCTTAGGCAACCCGCCTGCTGCAGCCAGAGGCCAGAGCAGTGACCAGCAGCAAGCTAAGCTGAACAGGTCTTGGTCTGGCCGACTTCCAAACCCACATGCTCGTAGAAGAGCTCCACCTCTGAAACAAGGCTCAGCATTTCCTAAAAGAATATTGCCATTAATAAAATGCATTTGCCGTTAGAGTTCTCCAGAGACACTAAGTCAATGTTAGCTGGCAGCACTGCTTCCACACACCAGCAATTTCAATCTCTGCTGTGCTCAAACCATCACCATCCACTCTTTTTATGGCTCCGCTCCAAATTATTTTGTCACTGCTCCAATCAGAAATGTTTCCTGCCTCTATAACAAGTTTATCAACACTGGATATGAACCACATGGCTCCCTGCCCGTCTCCTATCGCAGAAGGCTACAGATTAATTTTATAGGAATTCAAACACTCTATTAAACCTGCTACTACCTACTGCTGATAAAAGGGCTGCATTTTAAAAGAGCGTGTGTTAAGCATGCAATTAGGGGCAATGACACGCAAAATTACACATGCAGGGAGATGGAATTATTTCAAGGCGTGTGCCGGAAACTGCAGGTGCCCCTGAAAGGAAGTGCCTAACCCTGCTCACGTGTGGGGCTGATCTGGTGCCCATCCAAGCCTGTGGGGATGGAACTTGTCAGGTTTGCCCTTGTTGCCCATTTGCAGAATGACCACCAACAACTTGATGTTGGCCAGCTATGTCCCTTCGGTAACGAGAAGACTACACAAGAATCCAACCTGCCTGATGCCTGCTGACTGCCATCCTTACGGGACCCAACAGACCCTGCCCCGAGCACCGTCATCTGCACTAGGATGTCCAGAGGACAGTCTTCCAGCACCCAAAGCCAAACCCCAGCAGGATGCAGAGATGTCCATCTCACACCATGCCACACAGCCAGTACAACAGCCAGGCGCTGTACTCCATGACAAAAGGGGCAGCTACAGCCAACACGGAGCCACCTGCAAGTCCCTGGATTTGTGGTTTCCCTGCAGGGATGCTTCTGCTGTGCTGCAAACTCCTGGTCTGCAGGAAGGGGTATAGCGAGCAGCAGCAGTTGCCATCGAGCTCCCAACGTGAACCCACCACAATGTAACTTCTGGATTCATCAGCCAGCGCAGCCCTGGCAGGTTCTTTGCTGCCTGTCCCTCTCAGGCCATGGAACAAGCTGAGGAATGCCACTACCCAGGAACTGTCACCAAATGCCCTCCTGTAAGGGCAATTCCACCCGTTTGTGTCTCCTAGGAAAGACTAGTCCTTTGAGAATCACAGCAAGCTACAAAACTCACTCACTAGCTCCACAGGAGGCTAAAAGTAGGGGAACATGAAGCTGAAAGGCTGCTCCAAATGCTCTGGGAAGACACTGCCACTGGAAGCCTTCCGTCCAAGACAGACAGTACAAAAAACCTGTATGAAATAGGGAGAATTAAGGCACAGAGCAAGTTACCAGCAAATACATGTGCAGAAGGTGACATGACCAAACACGGGAGAGGGTTAATGGTCTGAGTCTGCAGAAAACTCAGCTGAGCTAAGGACAGGAGGCGCACTCCGAGCCACAAGGTTGTCAATGTTGGGTGTCGCTGTCGTGAGAACCCCCATCCATGGAGGAGCAGCAACCCACACTTCTCTGAAGGGATCTCCGTAGCAGCTGCTCCTGGCAGCATGTCACACGGGGCTTAGTCAGCCTGTGTGTATGCACCACCTCCAGGGAGGTAGGGCTGCTAAGGCAAAGGCTGAGGCATATGAAGCTGAGTTTATTTCAAAAGATGTTGAAACTTAGTTCGCTAAGTTCTTAATCCTCTGCCTTTCCTTAAATTTGTTGTCTTTAGAAGCACAAATAGAGACTGAGGAGATAAGGAATTAACTCAGGTCACAAGTCAGTCCCCTTAGCTGATGGCTCCAGCTTTCTCTTTGCATTCTTCCCCTTGACTTCTCCTTTACGCGTCACCGCCAGCAACAACACATCAACGCATCTCAGACAGTTCTTATGCAGCACCAGCATTATGGGGACCCACATTGCCCATGCCTACTCTTACCTTCCTTCAACACCAACCCTCCTTTAACACAGCAGGGCTGGGTGGACACAGCCACGTGGAATCAGCCGGCTCTGTGTGCCAGGCATCCCACATGGCCCCTGCCACCGCAAACATGGGCTGTCCTCCCGCCTCCAGATTCTCTGTGGGCTCCTGCTCCGTGCCAGGGACTCCTGTTCATCACTTGGAGAAACAGCTCATATATCTGTCCTACTTTCTATTTTCTTCAGACACCAATTAAAATGGTATTTTGCTGGAAATACTCCTCCTCTTCGAAAGGTGAAGCGCGAGGGGACATCTGGCTGGCTCAGGCAGCCAGGAATAGAGCAGAGATCTGCAGCGCAGCTTCCCACGCCAGCACAGGTCGGCCAGAAGCAATTATCAGCTTCTCAAAACTCAATTCCTCAAAAATCAACTCAACCCGCTTGCAGTGGAGTATGAACAGACAGCTCCATACTTTGTACCACAGTAGAAGACGTGTGCTTTTTAAAAACATGTGATGATATTTCTATACCCTTAAATATCACCCCGCTCTTCTCCCCAAAGTCAAAGCCTACCTGGATCCAAGCTTCTGGTTGGTACGTTACAGAAAAAAGGGTTAGTTGAAAAACTTGGCGCCAGACTGCAAAGCTCACCCGTGCCAAGCCTGATGGCCTGGTTCAGGTCTCTCTGCCATACCAAGAGAGGAGAAATGACCATTGGAAGGAAATGCATTTGAAACTGGACTTCACAGGTGACTGGTTCTGCCACAGCCCAGGAGCACGGTCACCACAGAACATACTAACACCAGGAGCAAAGGATCCTTCACGAGCACCCAGAGTGGTCTGTTTCTTTCGTTAATATTTGGTGCGCTTGCTCAGCTGGTCATGACAATACCACCTCACTGGCTACTGACAGGAGGAGGTTGCTTTCTTTCATGCCTTCACACCAATAAACACACAATTGCACAACTTCTTCATAAAGCAATAGTCACTCCTTTCCGGGAAATCTGTTCCTACCACATAATCCACCCAGTAACAGCAGAAACCATTTATAAGCAACCAACCTGTAGGGTACCAATATGTTTCTACTTGCAAGTGTCTATGGCATCGTCAAGCAATGCAGGTTCCACATGATGGTGAAAGCTCGTGACCATACTCAAACCACTGCCCTTTATTCCAGCAGCACCAAAAATGTTTCAAGACCAAAAAGCCAAATAAAAACCCAAAGGTACTCACAACCCTCAGGGCTCAAACTGAGCACTTGGCAGAAGACCATTACAAGGCCCAACACATGTGACAACCCATCGCTGTCTGTCAATTAACGCAGCCCGGGGAGGCTTCCAGCTGGGCATATGAACCCCTTGACTGACACCACACTGCTCTGGTAGGTAAGCACAAACCTGCCCCAAATCATCCAGCCTACTTTCCTGCCCCTTTGGCCCCAAAATACCGCAAATTTTTGGGGACAGGCCCTTTGCACATACAGAGGATGGAGCAGCAGGGTCCACGACCTGGACTTAGCATTGCAAAAAGCCCCACGATAACTCTTGTCCTAAGGTGTTCAAAGAACTGGATAAACACTCCCTGATTAAGGAAAAAATACCTTCCAGGCTCTGGAAACGTAGGAGGAGGTCTGGTTCAAAACACCGCACTAAATTAGCAAGCCTGACAATGAGATAAAAGCGCCTTCAAGGGAAAGGATCAGAAGAGAGTAAAATTACTCCAAGTGAGATCAAAGACAAACGAAATCAGGAATGTTAAGTGCTTACAGAAGCTGCTGACTATTTCCAACCTCCATTCTTCATCATGTAGTGACAGAAATGGATACGATCCTGTTTAAACACAGAGGCACATGCTCGCGCAGCCTCCTGCTCACCTTCACCCTCTTACCTGCCAGAGGTAATGCTGTAGTGAACGTAGTGAAGACTACCCAGAACAGCCACTTGCTCCCCACAGCAAATACAGCTACTCCAACGGACATCGATAGTAACACAGAGGCGAGCTCCCGCGTCAGAAGCCAGATGGTCTTTCCACACATCAGTTCAAGGCAGGTGTTGCAGCTACAGGTCTGTGTTCTGGACCTGGAAAGCTTTTTGCCTTTGGCTCCTCCTGGATGTAGCTTCAAGCACCAAAGTCTGGCAGAACTGGAAGTTTTCAGCTCATGGATCTCTAAATCAAGGGCAGGGAACCCTGTAGAGCATTGCCCTACGGTGGGCAACATCACATGTACATTCAAAGCAGGCTTTTACATCACAGCACACAAACCTGCTCGTCTACCAACCACCCAGAAACAACCCAACACAACTGAGAACATCTCAAAATACTCTTCTGAGGGAAAAGGGGCCAAAAGCAGAGCGGTGGGTTGCGAGGAAAGAGGAACAGCGCAGTCTGTTCCCATCCAGTCCCAGGTAATCAGCAGGGTTCATACTAAACTCCACTAAGCCCAGCAAACTGCTGAGCTATCGCAAGACAGACAGTAGCGGCTTTGAGATTATAAATGTATGTGCAAATACATACTTACATGCAGACATATACCACACATATGTGCAT